GACGCGACGAGGAGAGGAAGAAGAAGAGGAAGGTCAAGTGATTCCAGTAAGAGGGCAGACTTTAGCTGCCGTCCCTTGGTGCATTGGTGGCATGGCTCGCGTCTTGATGTTGTTATCGTCATTGGTTAAGGCGTCCTCCAGGCATCAGTCCGCGCCGCACGAATTGAGGCGGGGAGGTACGTCACGTGATAGCGCGTCAAAGTTCCAAAAGGTTGACAGCTGATTTCAACATATACTTCCATCTCGCGCAACAGACGACTGACTTTATTAAACGATTCTCGCCGCGATACCCTCCCCCTCCAATGAGATGTACTTTCCCAACATGAACCCCGCTCCAACCCTCCTATACCTCTTCTCGCCCCTCCCCGTCGTCCCCTGCGTCGCTGTGACAAGCAAGACGTAGTATCGCCTCAGCAAATTCGAGCTTCCACCCTTCATTTTCGCGACAATGACACACTGAGTGACTTGGCCGTCGCTCGCGCTTGTCCTCTCAGCATCATACGTTATCTTGACCTCCTCTGGCAATCTCCCCGCTACTTTGAAGTCGCGGACCCGAGCTATGATGGCGATCTCGTCCTCCTGTGGACTGGTGTCTGTCGTGGAATGTTTGTTGCTACCACGAGTCCAGGGCGGGATTATCTCCGTGCGCTCCCAGTCTGCTTGGTCGAAAGGCGGATCGATGTAATCTATACCACCTCGGTACGCCATCCAGGACCAGCTTGGGACTTTCAACTTGCGCGCTGGTGGGAACTCAATCGTGGGCATGTTCGGAAGATCCCCCTTTTCTTCGCCGCGTTGCCACAAGAGACTCCGATGGAAGAGTCCGCCGTCTTCTTTGTCACCATCGTCAAAGATGCCAAACGCTCCTTTTGTGTTGAAAGCACTTTGTAGACGCTTCTCGAGACCCGCAATGGCAAAAGGACGGTCGGAGTAGCGGGTGAAGTCGAGACGAGAGTATTGCTTGTAGAGGCCTTGAAAGTAAGCAATCTTCCGTGCGCGGTTGGCCCGCATGGCCTTGTTGGGGAAGTTTGGGTCACCAAGGAAATCGGCCATATTGCTAGGCTTTGGGTTAGTGATGATTGAGCAAGCGATATGTCTTGTCATGACTTACTTATGCAGTTTGGCCAGGGTTTCGCATCGAACACCTTGGCCGCACTCGAAGTATGTCTGGTTCTCCGTGAAGTAGATGGTCCGTCGTGCCAGCGCGCGCTCTTGCAACACCCAACCTCTCTTGTTCAAAGACCCCTCGATGACATCTTTACTGAAATTATCGATAGTCTTACAGACGAAGAAGGGCTTTTCGTTGTCTCGCTGAATGGTGATATACTCACGCTGCGGCCTAGGATCAAGGAAGCCATCACGCTGATTGCTCGCTCGGCTTGCAGCGAGTACACAATATGCTCCACTAAAGACTGCCTCCATATTCTTAGACTCCTCGTTGAAGTCTCCATTTTCACCTTGGATGATGCAGAGCGAATCTACCCACAAATAGCGGATGCCAATCTTCCGTGTGCTGTCAACGGCGTCATGAAAGGTTGCTGGGAGCTCGCCTTCGGGAATGGCTTCAAGATATTGCTCTAGGTTCTCTGGCAGAGTACAGAACGGTGTGTACTTCGTGGTGTCTCCCCAGGGATGTGACAGTGCGATGTACTGTTTGCTCGGGATGTGCTCTCGCTTCGTCTCGAGGAGGCGCAGCATAGGCGTACCGATAGTGCCCACGTCGAGGAGTCTGGTCGGCAAGCTATGGGATAACCCCTTACATCCTGCGTGGCTCGTATCGCAATCTTTGAGCCAAAGCTTTATGATGCTGAAGAACGCGTCTGATCCAGCTTCTGGGAGCTCTGGGAAGCCAATCTGGATTGGACATGGGAGATCCGTTTCTGGACTTCTGATCAGAGAAAGAACAGGATACGAGTCGCCTGTCATGATGATATTTGACTGGTCTCGCTGGAATACCGCCCGGTCTCCTTTGGGCTCTTCGGCTTGGTTGTGAACTTCATACAACATTCTGCACAGATCGCATTGCGGCGCACGATCTTCCAATATTGACACTCGCTCTTCGATGCTGAAACCGCCTTTTAGGAAATCTTGCGCCGAGCATGAGCCACAGAGTCGATGTTGGAAGCGTGTTTGTGGTATGAATTCCTGTATACCGGTACTTGCGACGACTTTGTCAGCGAAGTTGTTATCGATCTGAAACTCCCAGTCTTTGAGAGGCGGAAGGGTGTAGTCAGCACCGATAGGTTTACCAAGCACTCCACTTTTGAGTGATCCTGATGGCGGCAGGTTGTTTAACGGGAGATTGGCACTGTTGGGCGATAGCATTGGGGCTGTGAAGGTTGGCGTTCTGACGTTGGTGCGGTCTTTGCCGGTGAACATATAACCGGATATATTCTGCTTCCTCAATATGACATCAAGTTCATCCCGAAACTGCGCGGCCGTAGCTCGATAGCGTGTGATAGATTGACCGAGTGCTGGAGGAAGCAGAGGCCGGCCACCCAGAGTCCCACTCTTCCTATTGGGTGGCAAATTGACGACTAGTAGCATTTCGCGTACAATCCTGAGCAAGTCTTTCGTCGCCGAGATGCGTCCTGCTGAACATTCCGGATCCTTGTTCTGAATATGGTCCATCCACTTCTGGACAACAGGGTGAACTCTGGCACTTTCCGGTTCGCTCGCATCCAAGACTTCGTAATACTGGCAAATCTGTTGTGCATTCCCCTCGATCTGTTTGTAGAAGTTGTTCAATTCGTCATTGCCATACAGGATCCAGATGATGAACTCGAACGTGATGCATCCCATGGACCAGATGTCGTAGAGTCGGGAGCGTGCGTTCTCACCAGTAACGGTTTCTGGCGCCTCGTACCGTCGGGTACCGTACCTGGTGCTTGTTGCCTTTCCTCGTTCTTGCGTCGCCACTACATGCCGCTTAGCCAAACCCATGTCTGCGATCTTCAGAGTCCCAAGGCCAGACTTAGATCCATTAGTAAGAAACCGGAGGATGTTCTCCGGCTTCAGATCACCATGCCTGATGGACTCCGCATTTCCCGCGTTCTTGTAGTCGTCTACCTCATTGTCAAGCCCGTTCTCGCTACCGGCATCACTTCCGCCGCTCAGATGCGATTCCACAACGGTTGGGTCGTTCACTCGTATCGTCAAGCCATTGGCTTCGCTGTCATGTTCTGGGCGCCCGCCGTCAAAATTATGTAGTCGGTCCAAGGCGTCGACGATACCTCTAAGCTGAACGATGGTGTGTTCGATGATACATGCGTTTGGAGCCTCCCGTGGCGTGTGGTCCCAAAAATCACGTAAGCTATCCCCATCAGCCCAGGGGAACATGAAGTAGCGGCTGTGACCTCTTCGTATAGCTGCTATGCATTTCACGATGTGGCCATGATTGAGTTTCCGAATAGCTTCGAGAGCAGTAGCTTCGAAATTCCACGCCCTGTCAGTTCCGGCAGCTTGTTCTCCTCCCTGTGGCACTTTCAGCTCCTTAAGAGCCACCTGTTCAGGAATTTAGCGGATTGAAGTAGGTCACATTACTGGCAACGCACCTGTTGTATCTCAGGGTATTCATGATGATCTTTGTGTATAGTGACTCGATATACCGAACTGAAAGCGCCGTCCTTTGGAACTGCCCCATCTGAAGTGAATGGGAATATGCATTGCGCTTTCAGGTCGTAGCCGTACTTTCGTTGCACGAAGACTGGAGCTAAGCACTTCCACTGATTATCTCGAAAGTTAAGGATTTTGAGTTCACTCCAGACCTGCGAAGAGAACACATCCTGACTCGTCAGATTATCAACCACTGGTAGACTTTTGTCTGTAAATCGGCATTTTCGAAATATAGCCATAGCTAGCAGAAGACGAGATGGATCGAAGTCGCATTGGATGGTGATAACAAACAGCTTTGGAGCCTTCTGACGGATCCATGTTGCAAGTTCAGACCGACGTCGGCGATTCCATTTAGCAGCGAACTCTTTTGAATATATCTCGATCTTGTCCAGCTCTTGTTCGATCGCTGCTTGGACGACGACCTCTTTGATCGCATTCTCTGGCAGGTACTGGCGGTCTGGGTCGTGGAACGTTGCTAATACACATCGTCCGAGTATAGTGCCGACTAGATCAGAACCTGATATCGCAGGCAAACTGTAGTCATCTAGGTCATCGTCGCTCAATTCGTGCGCTAGAGTAGGTGCTTCGATGTGTTTCTCCTGGTTGTTGGCTAGGTTCTCGAGTCGGGTCGGCTGGACCGCGCGCGCTTTGGTTCCCCGCACCAGATAGCCAATGACGAAAATGGCCAAGACCAGGGCAAGTTGGGCAAGCATCGCGCTTGTTCGATCCACGTGTGTCCCTTCAAGTTTGTCCTGGACATGCGCAAACGGAGTATGCTGATCTTCGGAAAGTTTGCTGGCTGGGACGAGATCGCGGTGTTCCAAGGTCAATCGTAGGGGTTGGCAAAGCCAGGTTTCACGGACACATGTAACACCTTATGACATGCGATTAATCTGCAGAGCCGCCTGCAAGCTGAAGTCCGATTTGTGATGGATGTGCGCCACATTGCTAAGATGATCAAATCAGAGTACAAGCCTCGGGATGTTGATGCCGTGGGTGACGCTCAGCCTTGTGAACGATGTTCAGCTCAGCTGCGAAAGACGGGAACATGGCCCGAAGCGTCGAAAGGACGCAGTTAATATTGGACCCCACAGGCGAGGTGCAGGTGGACCCCACCTGTTCCCTGAAGCGCATGAACGCCTACGTGGGAGAGGACGAAAAAGCAATTGTACACACCGCTCATAATCGCACACGCAGTGATCGACAGGCTCGTCGTCGTTGCATAGCCTCGCGACATGAACCGCGAAAACCTGAATTCTCTCAGTACTTTGCCGAAGCCAGGATGATGTGCAGCTGGCTCAGACCGCTATAGCAAGGAAATTCGATGCGCAAAACACCTCCAGATTAGCCATAAGTCCCCAAAGCTTGCCCTGTAGGAAAAGCTCTCATTCGAAAATGCGGCTCATAGCCTGCTCCTTGCTCATCGACCGGCCCAGCACAACGATGGTCTCAATCAATCCATTCGAGGTTATGCGACCAAAGGAGACTTGAGTCTGGGTATACGGCTCAAGCGTCTCCTTCTTGATGCGATCGGTTGTACTGCTGGAGCTTCTGACCTTGGACTTGGTGGATCGTCTTGTATGGCCTCCTCCAATGCTGACATTACATATTGCTGAACAGAAGAATCAGTACGCCTCATGTTGCACCAAGGGTTGCTCATCGTCGCATAATCCGCATTGCGACGACACCTGTCGTACAGCGCGTCTAGCGATTGCCACACATATATGCAAGACTTGCGCTCCATCGAGTCAACTACCAGCATGTCAAACTGGATCAAATTCAGTACATCGTGCAGGTAAAGGGTACAGTTTGGGTGTCGATGTAGCTCATCGATGAACTGTTTCATGTTGTTAGCGGTGTGCCATGTCGTCGAATAATGTAACCTACGGCAGTGACTCTCGGATTGACCTTGGCCCGTATCCCAGGAAGTTCAGGGTCCTTCTCCACTTCATAGAATGTATCAATAGTCGTAAATCGAAGAAAGTAGTCGGTCATTGACCTTGACCGCTTGAATCTTTTCACGAGATCACGGCCCCCTAGCAACCACGTTACGAACTCAAGGTAAACGCAGCCCAAACACCAGATATCGTAAGACTGCCGCATGTACGCGTCAGGCAAATCGCATTCGGGGGGTCGGTATGTCATCGTGTTGGGCCTTTCTCGACGATCAGTCTTGCTCTGCAATGAATGTATCTCTGCTTGTCCGAAGTCGGTGATTTTGAGCGTCCCCTGCAACGTGCAACCATCGTCATCGCTATCGCCGTCGTCATACCAAAGGATGTTGCTGGGGTTAATGTCCCCATGGCGGCCGTATACTTTCTTTCGTGCATTGCTATAGTGGTTGAGTTGATGGCTAAGCGACGGCAGACTGTAATCACCAAATTCGAAGTGGGTTCTGAGTGGGCTCGTCGGACGCTCTTTTACACCATTCGAAAGCATCGACGAGCCCGTGTCGACACGATCTATCATTGGCGCAAATCTCACACTCTTTTCCAACGGGGTTGAAATACTCCCGTTAATTTCTGCAATACGTTAACTCAATAAAGGGCGCTGTTAAGCGAAGCAATGCCCACAAAGTGGCAACAAAGCAGTTGTCTTCGGCTCTTTCGCTTTTATCGAAGTGACGTACCGTATGAGTATTCTGATTGCTCTTCCTCGATCTTGAGCTGAGGTTTGGTGAACGAAAGTAGCTTGTGAAGTTTCGACAAACCCTCGACAAGCCCGCTACACTGCTTGGCAAACCAGTTGACATTGTTGTGATGGAGGACCGGGTATGGTTTGAGCTTCTTCCAATAGTCGAATAGATCGCCTTCCGCGCGGTAGAAGATCAGATTGAATCTGTTGAACTGTTCATACGTTGCAAGCAAGGAGACTATGTGTGGATGACTTCGCCCGCCACTGAACTTCATTAGTATCTCTATCTCTCTCTTGTAAGCGTCGCGATTTTCGTCGTGAACTTGTTGTTTGACGGCGAAACCGCGCTCGCAAAGCCGCGTGTCACTGAAATTGTGGTGATCGGAGGGTATCTTCACCATGATTACTCTCCCGTAGCCACCAGTCTTGTCAATAGACTGACTCAAGGCATTGCCCGGGGTGAGGAAAGGGAGGATGTGCTGGTCTTGGAGTTTGTAGTTCTTTACTACTCCGTCGTCGTCGGGTGGCGAAAAGTATGTCGCAAGTAGCCACCACTGATAGCGTTGGAAGTTCTCAAGCTTCAAGGGTGACCACCCCTTGAAGCAACCACGAGGAACACAGATTTGATCGCCTTTGCGATACAGTTCCCCGGTTTCGTCATGTTTCACGAGGGGTAGATCTTGATCCGTGACCCCCTCTCTCACGAAGTCCACGATGGAAGAAACAGCTTCGATTAGCACCAAGAGTGCAAATATTTTGCGAAACGTCGTGATTTTGGTGGTTCCCTTTTGCCTTTCATCCTCAGTTTCTGTGCACACTATCCTTGCGTAGGATTGTATTTCTTCGGATGAAAGCCGCACTGTGGGTTGCATCGCAGTCCTAGTTAGTTCTCGCGTTACAGCGTCGACCGTTATCACATGACGTAATTTGGCCTTGGGAATGAATGTCTCGATCTGGCCCTCGTTGTCTCGTGTACTCAGACGCGCATCCATGATCTCCTGTTGTAGCTCATACCTATCGCCTAGGGGTGGCAACGAGGCTAATGACTGCGCTAGGTCCTCGTCGAATGAGACTTCTGGAGGCGAAAGATTGCGTTCTTCACGCAATTGCTGCTGATCACCAGCGTCTGAGATATTTGTGACGCTTAGTTTCGGTGAGATCAAAAGGTTCCGACAAGCCGGAGGACCTAGTGACGACGTGTAGGCGCGCACGGGATCCCATGACTCCTCTGAGAATGAGCGGGAATGACCAAGTGAGGTAGGCTGAAGGGACTCTGATCAGAAAAGCTCAGCTATAGTCTCTCATAATGAAGCATACCTCGTCACTTTCCCATTGTGTATCCTCTGCTCCAGCTTCTGTGTCATGCCCGGGCAAGGAAACCCCTGTTGGATGGTGATCGATCCATGTTATGGATGAGGCTGGTGAGCCACGATACTGCGCAGTCGGCCACGCGATTCTTTCTGCGTGCGAGTCGATGGCATGCGAGTCACGATCTGGTGATTGTGACTTACGCAAAGACCGGGGGCTGTCGTCATCATGTACGCTACCGTCCGATGACCTATGGAAAGAGTCACGACGTGGCGCGGTGTATGAGGCTATTGGATGCTGATTTGGTCTAAGACCATCGTCGCTCGGGCAGTGAGCGCTTGAATCGAGTCGATTGGCAGGTGGTGGCGAGATGTGCCCAGATCCCACAACGGGAAGCCGCGAACCAGGTACCAACACGTCAGTCACCGACTGATTTGGTATGAATACTCCCTTTCTTGCTTCATTCGGCAGTTGCAAGTTGTGGGTTTCGGGTTGAGCCGTACGTTGTTCTGTGCCCCGTAGGCTTAGAGGGGCGGGGCCTTTGACCGGACTCCGACGCGCCTTGTTTGGCGGGGCGTCTGCCCTGAACACGCGCATGTCGAACGAGGGAGGCATTGTCCACTGCACAAAGACAACTGTCTGAGTTTCGAGACAGCCCCTAGGGCGTATCGCATTGTTATAAGGGATGCCTCATGGAGGACCTTGAGCCGCACAAGGCTGAGCGGTCAGTCCTTTGTGGTAATCGCCCGTCTTCGAGTCCAGTGCCTGAGGTTGTAAGATGTGGCTGCTTCACGGCCACCAGAATTTAGCCGGATGCAATTGATTGGTTCCACAATGTCTCAGCCGGTGAGCTGTTTGGGATGACATCCCGAAGTGCATGGCGCAGCACTGGCGGACTGACGTTCGCTGCCTATGAGAGCTCGTTGAAGTTTGTGGGCACATGCACAGCCGCAGCTGAATTAAGGTAATGCACGCGCCCTTCAGCCTGCTCGCAACCTCACGACATGTGTGTAAATACCCTGGTGACGTCCTTCGCGAGGTGGAGAAGAAAAAGACAACAGCTTTCTTCAAGACTCCTCTCTTACCACTGAAAAGAGTATCAAAGCGACATCAATGTCAACATCCAAACCAATCGCATACGTGAAGGTATCAAGGCCTTCGATAAGAGATTACGACGAGGACGATGATCTGTCGGACCTTGAAGATGCGCAATCGATATCGGGGAGTAACATCGACCCTGCGAAGTTGGCAGCACTTCTGAGGATCAAATTCGGGGCAGGAACCTATGATATACACGTAAGTAGGACTAACCTCGCGGTATTTGGAAACCTTTTGATCAAGAACTGACGAGCATCGTAGATAATGCAGAACTCTTACTGTATCATCGCGCCACGAAAACTTTCAACCGTAAGTCAAAAATCTGGTCGGAAACACTCCAGTAGCTAACGCGCAACAGGGAGAGATAGCTAGATGTCAAAGAAGAAGATGAGGACGATGAGTGGCTGCCTAAGCGTCTCGTAGACAGGAGAGCCGCTCGCCGGTTCAGGTAAATGGGAGAGTAAAGCCCGGTAGGACACACGGAACGTGCCATGATGACGGAAACGCGGGCATTCCGACAGGGAGTTGTAAGAACTCAGGATGACGCTCATGGCGATTCGTGTCTTGCAGCCTCGTGTCGACGAACGTTTGGGGGAAAACATCATAGAACGCCGGAAAGCGTATCAATAGATCCTTCCACTTTCGGACCTTTTGACCAAGCCGCTAGGACCATCATGATGCCACCTGGGCACCTTCCTGCCCATGTGCATGACTCAATTGGTGAAAACGTGATCACGTTTCGGCCTGAGAAGAAAACACCCTTTGTCCATGGCTGCATCTGTCATGTTATGTATGCCTTTGAACCGGATCGACTATGAGTGCCACGGCGGCATTTCGCGTCGCGCCGGGATCTCCACATATTCCAACGGTCATCCACGTTGATGATGCGTGTATGTATAGCGATCAACGGCGCTACCTAAATATAATATTGGCTTTCCTTTCGTCTGAGCTGACGCCAAACAGACACGAGAACAAGGCTGAGGCGCTGCATGCACCGCCCACTTTATACGGTGAGCTTGTGAAAGACCCTGGCCACAAGTCACCCCCAGATCTGTCCAGCGCTTCGGGTATCGAGTTTGCAACGGCGATGGATACAGCACACAACCCCAAGACCTGTAATTTTCCGTGCCGATCCTATCGAATGATGCGCAAACCAGGCGAAACTGTGATAGGTTTTAAAACTGGCGCCAGGTGCACAAGCGCCGATCTCCCGCGCCAGTGTCTCACATAGCAACGTCTGGCGCGTCGCCATTGGCCGGAGCTTGGATTACGCGGATGTGGCTATGCCGGTTTCACTGCGAAGCTTGATACATCACTCCCCTTTCCTGCTGCGCGCCACCAACACCCACTGCAACCGCACCGCCGACCTACTTTTGCCCAGCGTTCCTTCTCACCACCTGCGCTCCCCATACGTCGCCGGGAGATAGCGATAACGGATTCTCACGACCTCACATTCGTTTTGCGCTTGGACCCTGGACGCGCAGCAGTCACGCCCCAACCTGGCCTCCTAACACGGCGACTCCTCCGCGGGAACCCGCCAGCACATTTTAACCCTCCGCGATGTGGTTCCGCAAACGTGAAAGCGACATTGAAATGTCGGGCATGATGGACGGAGCACCAAAGAAAAAGAAGTCGCAAGGCCCGCCAGAAGAAACAGAGTACCAGAAGTTTGACTGGAAAAGATTCTTTCTCGCCCCCAAGTACATCCGTAAGACCACGCCGCCGCCCATGCGACCACGGAACATTTTTTGGCTGACTCAGCATATAGCATGGCACATATTGTTCATCGTTATCGGCATCTTGACCGTTATCATCACGATAAAACACGACGCCGTCGTTGAGGTGAGTCTTCGGTGTTTTGCCTTGGGGCCAACGAACACGTGGCTAACGGTGTCTGTGCAGAAATTACGGCCGTGGTCCGAGAAAGTGCGAGACCTACCAGCAGGATGGCTAATCCCCATTGCTATTCTTATCATTATTTCTTTCCCTCCTTTATTCGGTCATGAGATCATTGCGCTGCTGTGTGGTGTCGTCTATGGTCTGTGGATCGGGTTCGCCATTGTTGCGGCAGGCACATTCATTGGCGAAGGTAAGCCTTACCATGTCATTACAACTCCATGCAATGCATACTAATATCCTAATCAGTCGGCACATGGTACGCTTTCAAATACGCCTTCCGCTCCAAGGCTCTCAAACTGGAGCGCACCAATCTAAACTACGGCGCCATGGCTCGTTTAACGCGTGACGGTGGCTTCACCATCGTGCTCGTCATCCGTCTGTCCGCCATCCCAGCGCATTTTTCCACCGCCGTATTTTCAACCTGCGACGTCAAATTCTGGCATTTCGTCGTCGCTACTTTCCTTTCTCTGCCCAAGCAAATTTTCCTCGTCTACCTCGGTGTACTGCTCCTACAGGAGAGCAACGACGACGTAATCAAGACGGTCATGTTCGGCGCTATCTTTGTCATCACTATTGCCATGGGTATCTGGATCTATATGAAGATGCGCGTGGTGAAGAAGACACTCTTGGAGGAGCAAGAGCTCAGAAGGGTCAAGAAGGCCGAAGCCGTCGAGCTGGTACCAAATGCTGAACGTGCGTTCGATACGCAATACGACGAGGGGCCTCCGATCTGGTCATCTATGCAACCAACGCAAGTCAGCCGACCAACGGAGAGGAGATATGACGAGGACCCTCCGGAGTGGGCCATGCAGCCTACGCAACCCACCAGAATGCTCTGAGCGTAATTGTTGATTGTATCATACATAGACTGTTATATTCTTAATGCCATAATGAAGTTATGACCCGCATGGGTTTAGTTTGCACAAGACAATCAAGGTCTGGCTCGAGTCGAGAGCCACCAGAGGCATATGCAGTCTACTCGAACTACTAACCCCACTTCTAGGTGGTATATCGAAACCATGGCACGTCATCGGCAAGCTCGCGTTCCAGCAGCTTCTGTTCCTCGGTCAACTCCTGCGCCCCAGCTTCCAGGGCAATCTTATCGCGTCTCGCGTTCTCCATCCGACACCACGTCGACATGAAGAACGTGAGGAAGAACGCCATGCTACAATCAATATATTAGCTCCGCATCACCGACGTCATCCGACAGTGTAACAACTCACCTTACAAACCCAATCAAAATACTATGCCCAATGATAAACCTCGGCCCATCACGCGACAAATAGACATAACTCGCAACGATACCTCCGCAATTCCCACCCATCACCTGCATAGCAATACCCGTCCCCCTCTTCAAGCTGCCGCCAATATTCCCACTATTCCACGCCATACCCAACGGAATCTGCGGATAAATCCCAATAGCCGCAAGCACCGTACCCGCATATTGTATACTGGGCCTCCCCGTCGCAGCAAGCATAGCAAAGCCCGCAATAGCCACGACCTGAAAGCCCATCAAGAAGACACCCCGTTTCTTCACGCGATCCGCATACCAGCTCGCAGCAATGGTGAAGAAGCACGCGCAGACGTATGGCGGGACGGACATGAGTTGGGCGTCGTTGGCAGTGTAGCCCATGTTCTTGATGATGGTAGGCAGGAACAGGGCGAAAGAGTAGATGGGACAGAAGCCCGCCATGCAGATTAGCATGAAGATGTATATCTTCCAGTCTGTGAGGGCTTGGTAGACGTATTTCATATCGAAGTCGTTGGAGAGGTGGCCGTGGTCTGCGTGGAGGCGGCGTTGGACTTCTGTGCGTTCTTTGGGGGTGAGGAAGCGGGCGCTGCGTGGGTGTTAGATGAGTTGGGAGTGAGGAACGAGGAGGGGACGGACGTTTCGGGGTAGTCGTATATACACCAGTATGCTATTGTTGAGACGAGGATGCTGAGGAGGCCTTCTAGGATGAATATCCTTTATTCGTGTTAGTAGGTAGATTCCTTGATCTTTTTGTAAGTGATGTATTACCATGCCCATGCTGCTTTTCCACCAACACCGGACATCTCGGCGATACCACGGGCTAGGACGCCGCCAAAGGCTCCGGCGAGCGTTGCAGCGGAGAAGAAGAGAGCCATGCGGAAGCCGCACTCGTCTCTCACATACCTTCGGTTAAGTTAGCACTGCATTCAGGATTCGTCTGCCAGCTTTCTGGGGTGAAGACTCACCATTGCGAGATATAGTAGTTGACACCCGGGAACAGTCCTCCTTCAAACACCCCCAGAAAGACTCGTGTAGCCATTAGCCCCGAATAGTTCTTCACAAAACCTTGCAGTATCATCGCTAGTGACCAGAAGAACATGATGAATGTCAGCCAGATAGACGGCCGGGTCCGTTTCATCATGATATTCGATGGTATCTCGGCGGCGATGTAGAAGGGGAAGAGGACGGCGAGACAATCATTGTACTGTAGGCCGTGTAGCTTGAGATCTTGTTCGAGGTGGTCGAGGCGAGCGTTGCCGATGTTGGTGCGGTCTAAAAAGCACAAGCTATACAGCGATCAGTTGATGGTACGGGAACGGTCTGTCGGAGAAGGAGCTTACAGGTAAATGAGCGACATGAATGGTATAAGATGCCAGTCCAGTTTGCGGAGAAGCTTCTTGGTAGCGACTGCATCGAAGCCGTTGGGTTCGACATCTTCGTATGAGGTATCCGATGGTATGGGAGCGACAAAAGAAGCGTCTGTCTTCTTTTCTGTCATCTTGTATTGTGCGATAATCTTAAGAACCGCAGAGCATGTAGATGTTTCCCGAGCTGCGCTTCATACATGTACTCCCCACATCTCGTGCTGACCATGACTTCGGCGAAGTAGTAGTGAAGCCTCCTACTGTATTGATGCAGCCGCGACGTTCCAGACCCCAACGCGCTTTCTGAAAAGTTTCTTTGTTGTAGTACGCTCCTCATGCATGTTGCTGTATTCGTCCCCATCTCCCGAGACCGATAGCATCGTGTAACGTTAACGTCCTTCTCAGTGGTTGTGAATCAAAGATCAAGCGGTGAGATCCAAGAGAATGGTAGCTTGGCTGCAGTAGCTAAGGGCTGTCCCGAAGACTTGTCTCGCCGAGGTTTGATGGTTGATGTGGGCTCTGCGCGATTTCGGACTCGACTGGCTGGGCAAAGAGGCTTGTGTATGCGGGCTGACATGCATTCAGGAACTTGGCGCGTGCGATAAGATACTCTGGGTCTGGGCTTTCTGGAGTTAACCTGGTCGCCTTTAGGCAACTGGGGCAAGGCATTTGGTGGTCGCATGATGATACCTGGGTAGCCTTGCAATGTTAGGCTGCTTGTTTGAGACTCGCAGGCCGGGCTTCAAGCGATGCCTCATCTTCTTACCGGATATGCTGCGCAGAGGACTTGAATGCTGTCGCCTCCCATAAGCGTACAAGCTGTGAGCCTGTTCCACCGCACTGGGTCGTCATATGCACTCTTTTTCCCTCTCTCGTAACGCAATGCCATGCCTGCTCAGCCTTGCCAGGCACCCAACACAGTGCGGTGACGAAATCTCCTTTTTCCACAGCCTTGGGCATGTCCTACTCTCCTTTGGCTCTTCCGGCACTGATATTCGGTTCTCATTGCTTATCAATGGATGGTGATGACAGGGCAGAAGGAGTGTCTCTGGTTTGGACGGATGGCAGCGGTAAGAATAATGGAAGAGAAGACACATAGCGAATAAACCTCTTTCTGGAAGCTGACGCGAGTGTTTATGAGACTCAACCAAGACAGATCTGGTAAGATTGTGAGGATAAAGATGGCGTATTTCTGACGAAGAGATACACCGACGGAATCCCATCACTTTATGCATCACGATTGCGAAGCTTTCTCGCTGATTTCGCTTCCATGCTCCTTTGCTGCGGCTGAGATGTGGTCTCCTCAAGATCTTCACGAGTTCGGGCGCATGGCCTGGGAATGGGGTCACGATGTTCGCCTCTTCCGTTCGTTCATCGTAGCTACCGTGGCCCTGGAATAAGCAGTCGCACAACCGTGAAGGATGCAGACATGTCATTGGTCTCGGACGAAAATCCCATCCACACTGTGAGTGGCATTTCGCGCAATCGATAGTTCCAAACGGGCGTTCACGTTGCGCAAACACCACCCGTCTTCCACACTGATAGGGTGCGTTTGCTGCTCGGAAGGATGGCAAAGTTTCGGGAGACTGCGTTCCGTTCTTCACGGGTCAGTGACACGCGCGTGTAACGATGCTAGTGGTACCAAGGGCGTCTGGTACGACTGTTCGTTCATACGAGCAAACAACGCTGATCTCTGGCTTCGCTGATGGGAAGATCTGGCGACAACGCGGATTAGTAATGGAGTGATCCTTCCAAACGAACCGATAAAGTCGCAGAGTAGAGTCCAGTTTGGACATTTGCATTATTTGGCTAAGCGCCCGGTTGTGTGATTCATTCACTTTCAACGACATTGACCAAAGCAGACGCTCTGTTTCTTGGAGATGCTGCGAAGCCATTTTCTTCGAACAGCGGTGGATACAGCCTCGCAAGAGCAACTAATATCTGGGCCTTCGGCGACGTACTGGGTAGTAATCTTCGTAATCGCTTTCATCGTCTTCGTCGTCCTCATCGTCATATTCTTCATATCGCCTGTTATGACCATGCATCCAGCGGGGTGTATGTCGATTTTGGTAGGGCGAACGCCTAAACTGTCCCACGCCCCCTCCTCTTCGCCGCCTCGGATAATTGTATGTCGAAGACGTATCGTAATCGCTCTCATCGTCATCCTCGTCGTCATCGTAGAAGCTTCTTACGAAGGTGCTGCGACGGGATTGAGGCCATGATGACGGGGCGTTCTGGCGATGGCGGTTCGTAAACATTGGGTGTGATTGATGTGAATGGCCTAGTCCGAATGGCGAAGGCTGCCGATAGCCCATCGGTGAACCGCCTAGGAAGGGCGGCCGACCCGGGAACCCCATACTTCCGCCTCTGCCAATTCCCATGCCTCCTCCCATTCCCAGCCCCATTCCCGCTCCCATGCCCGTTCCAAAGCCCATGCCACCCATGCGACCTCCACCCATACCCATACCAAGAGGCGAAGGAATGCCGAACTGCGCATAGGGTCCCATCATAGGACTGGCTCTCTCGCGATTCGAAAAAGGCAATTGGAAACCTCCCATATTCATAGGGGTCGATTGCTGGTCCTGGAACCTGTGTAGATATGCTTGTCTTTGGAAGTCCGCAAACCTCCTCCGTTGATCGCGTGGGTCTCGTCCAAAAGTGTCGCTGTCGCTGCTATATGATTCATCGTAGGATTGGTTTGGACGAAAACCCCGAGCAGGAAAGCCCATTAATCCAGCCATCTAAACCCAGTCTCTGTCCTTCGACCACGGAAGGCAGCTTTGAGCGTTGGTTCGACGAAGCTTTTGTTAGCAATGATTCGGGCTATTCTGTGTGTACGGTTCTGCTTGGGGGTTTATGGTGTATATCGGTGGCCTTTTGGGAAGGCAGGTGACTAAGGCGCAATGATGTGAGGTGAGTTGTTTGACAACCTTTTGTGTTACATAAAAGGCGAAAGAAGTTCCGAAACCTGGCCGGGCTGCATAGCTAACTTTGTAGTAAAGCAAATGTGCCGCTAGCTGGGTCAATGTACCTGTGACGGCCACGAGCTGTCCGTAAACTAGTCATGTACGGATGGTTGGAGGCACATAACGCGATGCAGTCACTAGGAACCCAGGTGAGGCCAGCACAAAAGTTGTCGCTGGCAAGGCGATGCTCCGGCCGTAGCAGGCCTGTACGACACAAGGTCAGCAGTGGTTGGCGTTTTGGTGTCACCATGGTGTACGAGTAGAGTCCAAGCAAACACCTCGCTTATCGGAAAGAGAGCAAACTATGTTCCTTTGGTGATGCGAGTCGACTGGACGGAATCCAGCAATACGGTTGGAAACCAAATGGAAGCTGCAATGTAGAGACCCAAATATGACAGCTACAGACAGGAAGAATGGCAGAGAATCCTGTTCCAAGTCGAAGGCGAGAAGCCGACGGAATTGAGTGCGGCAATGACGATGCGAAACGGTCCTCAGCGAACAGAACAGCAAACAGTCGGGGAATGAGTCGTTATGGGTAGTTGTCAAGGTTGATGAAGCCGGCCTGGAAGAATGCCGCGGCGAGTACCAGGCCGATGCGACGGAGCGAGATGACACATCGCACCTTCCCCTTCCTCACAAGGGCATGTCTTGGGTATGTGGATCGAGGCGTGCCTGCCGTGTTTGCAGCAGGTTGACTTGGAGATTTGGAGAACGAAGAACATTGGAAGGCACAGTAGGGGTAATCACACGTAGGCATGGATGCGATATCCGAATAAGACGTCATTAGTCAATTAGATTCGGCAGGCGCGACGCGTGGACGCGTTGTGGCGGGAACGAAGAAGAAAAACCCAGTCCCCATAATACGACGAGGTCACGTGCGCCCATCTCGGCTCCAGCCAACCTCAAATGTTGGCCGATGGTTGAAGCTCTTCTTCTGTCGCCGCAATACGACTACATCTCCCACCCGAACTACGCCACGACGAACTGTGCCAATACTCCCGACGCTCCTAGCACCAAACCGCTGCAAGCCTGACATCATCTCGACTGCACCTGCCTCCACCACTCGCCTGCCACAATCCCCACACTAAATCTTTTGGCCTCGACACCACGCTTTCGTCTCATAGCCGCTTCCGCACCCACTACGACACCACCACACAATGGCGCCTACTTCTTTTGCTTCGGCAGCTGCAGGAAACAGTGCGAATCCAGCGCGTCCCGACTCCGGCGCTGACTGGTAAGTCCGCCCTACTGCACCCCATGTGAACACCACTCCGCGCTACATCAGCACATTTGTTACGTCAAATCGATAGGCACGACACAGATTAATTTTTTCCTTATTTATTACATCCCTCGTTACCACCATGGCTCCCTCACTAATCCCGGATACCAGGGCTCGACGTACCAACGGTGCCACGCAAACATTCCGCCGACCTTCACACGCGACAAGCCTCTCCGGCTCAACGAACCACTCATCCTCACGAGACCCTGCCGCGCCACAGAACTCGTCAACCAGCGCCGGCGTATATGTCCCGCCCCACGCACAGCCTGGCCGCAATGGCAGCTCGTTCGAGGGTCGCTACTCGCGGGATCAATTGACACAGCTGTTCCGGATACAGCAAGCGTCGAGCGACCTCAACGACGGACTGTCTAGTTTGTACATGGGTGGATGGGAGCCTCATGCTACGAACGGTGCTTCGAGTGCTTCCTGGGGCCGCAAAGACGACCACGGTCGGGAGAGGGAGGCGCCGAGCGGGGTCGACCAGTGCTGGGACAGAGATGGTAGCGTATTGCCACTCAGCCTGACTGACATGACCGACGATGAGAGAGAAGTAGGCACTCACCCCATCGCACCTTCCTAGCATGTACTAACGCGCGCTTCTTCGCTTAGATCTTCCATTCGTCTGTCAACTCGCCGCTCAAACCACCCACGCAGAACAAAGACGGTACTCCCAAGGAAGGCCTTTCGCTCCGGAAGACGTCTGTGTCGCAAGGCCCAGGCACTCCCTACGGAATCTCCTCGCCCACGAGCGCGCGCCCAGGCACCCGCCGCCGCGATACCAGCGACGCGTATCCGTTCCCCTCGTCGCCCGCCACCTCACGATTCGCGCGCGAAGAAGGCAGTGCCGTCACACCGCCGCCCGCCCTGGTACGCCGTCGGACAGACTATA